TGTACGCATCTAGAAAAAAGATTAAAATCTTTACTATTTTTTATTAACTCTTAAATGTTAGGTATTCGACTACTATACTGTAATATACAGAAAACGATCTTATGTCAATTGTTACGTTTCTGTTCGCAATTAAAATTTGAGCCACCTTACATTTTGATAAAAATAATGATTTTAATTCTCGCTTAAAATCGTATTTTTGTTTTAAAATCGATAAAATTATTCATTGTTAACTTTGTTTAAAAATAATTCGGATTAAAACAAGAGAATATTTTTCTTGTTTTGATATATAATAAGATTTAAAATAAATTGATCATTTTATAACAGTATTTGTTTTACCCTTTTTTTTAAAAATAAATATTTAAGTGTAAAATCATTAAAATCAATTAAATTATAAATTATTTGTCAAACTTTAGGTTTTGTAGAATATTTCAGTATTAGCAATAGCTTTTATGATTATTCATAAATAAATAATATTGGAAAGGCCTTTTTATAATTTTAATAATTATTTTTTATATGAAATATATATAAGTTTATATTTTATACAAAATAAAATAAAAATGTTCAAATGTTCTCTGTGCTATTTAGAAATCTCTGTTATTTAGAAAGAAGATATATGAGTGAACGTATCTTATACTATTATGTTAATCTTCTTTCCGGTCAGGATTGATAGCAATAACATGTTAGTAAGTGATGTACACAAATAATAATCTTAATCGATTGAAAATTGATTCAAATTTGTATAATAAATATAATTTTATGTGCTTTTACTGTTTTCAGTTACAGAGAATAAGAAAAGTAGGTTTTCCCGCGGAGGCTCACGCGATACAGACGGAGGATGGCTATCTCTTAACACTTTATCGTATCCCAAACAAAAACGGTCCATCCGTGCTGCTGCAACATGGTCTTTTAAGCAGCTTCGCCGATTTTCTTATTTCCGGAAAAGCTAAAGGACTTGGTATGATATTAATTAATCTCCAAAAACTATTTTTCTCATTGCGAGATCATTTACTACGTTTTAATCTGGAAAACAGGAAAATCAGGAAAAATTAAGAAGTTTATATGAAAAAATAACTTCTAATGTAATTTCTAGCACATCTTACGTTTTTAAAACAATTGTACACATATAATTTTATAATATTAATATAATATTATAATTATGTTATATATATATATATAATACATATAT